CATTATTGATTATATTCCCCAAACTGTCTTTTCTATCCCTGAGGCCATATTGTAGTTACCAATTTATGTTGTCTCGTCCCTTCCCCTTCTCTCTCTTAGTTCTTTTAAATTCTCTTTCTACAATGTCCCTACTAAGTTCAGCTACATCAAAGTCTGTATGTGATTATAAAAAGAAAATCCAGTTCAAGAAAATAAACATTGCCTGAAAGTTAACCTTTGTGCATTGTAGCAGCACTCATCTTTTAGACAGCCTAAGCAAGGCAATCTGACAATGGCTAACATACCCCAGGCTATCCAAGTGCAAAGCTCAAATGCAAGTGATGAATAAGCAGAAAGACCAAGCAAAGGAAACACAGTGTACCTCTCCATTTCGTATAGGTGGATCCACCATGGCTGTTGTCTCCTCGAGTAGACTGATGTCTGATGACCCATTTGCACTGAGTTTCCCTAGTGATGCTGCCTTCAGCAACTCATTCATTTTCTTCCTTGTTTCCTCCTTGGTTAGAGCCAGCTTTCTCTTTAGGATCTCTGCATGATGCCAGTGATGCCATTCTGTAAAACGGTGCCGGAGAACTTGTTTCCGGTTATACTCAGTGGCCAGTTGTTGTTTTCTGAACAACAAAGCACTTCCATTAAAAAAAAAAATCCATTCAGTAAACTCTCTGACATTGCTCTTAGTAGTCTTTTTTGGATATGTCTCTTTGGGCAAGGAAAACAAAAGAAAAAAAATAAACAAATGGGATTATATCAAACTAAAAAGTTTTTGTTCAGCAAAGAAAACCATCAACAAAATAAAAAGACATCCTACTGAATGGGAGAAGATATTTACCAATGATACATCTGATAAGGGGTTAATATCCAAAATATAAAATTCAACAACACCAAAAAGAAAAACAACCCAATTTAAAAATGGGTGGAGGACCTGAATAGATATTTCTCCAAAGAGGACATACAGATGACCAACAGACATGAAAAGATGCTCAATGTCACTGATCATCAGAGAAATGCAAATTAAAACCAGTGAGATATCACCTCACACCTGTCAGAATGGCTATCATCAATAAATCAACAAACAAGTGTTGGCAAGGATTTGGAGAAAAGGGAACTCTCCTACACCATTGGTGGGATTGCAAATTGGTGCAGCCACTATAGAAAACAGTATGGAGGTTCCTTAATAAGTTAAAAATAGAACTACCTTGGGTTGGCTGAGTGGTGCGTTGGTTAAGAGCTGGCTTGGGATGCCAGCTCTGAGCATCAGGGGCCCGGTTCAGATCCCACATGAGGGCCAGTGACACTGCCCTCTACAGCTAAGATGGTGAACAGCATCTCAACCCGGAGCTGGGCTGCTGTGAGTCGCCAGCGACCGGGTAGGCTGTAGCCCCTGCTGCAGTGGGCTGCCATAAGCTACCGTGTGTGGCGGGCAGGCAGTGTGAGCAGCCGGCAGCCAGTGTGAGCTGCCAAGAGCCGTCGTGAGCAGCCGTCCAGAGGCTGGTGACCGATCTGCCTCACCCGGGAAGAGCACAATGATAATACCAACATGGGCCAGTGAAGCAATGTCCTCCACAACTAGACTGAAGAACANTTTTTTTTTTTTTGGTATTGGCTGGAAAGGCCAAAACGTTTGGCAGGAGAGGCAGGAAAAAAGTCGTGGAGCTCTCTGGTGTACTCCACTTCTCACGTGTCTACCCGCTTTAGACTGACCAGGTGCTGCCAAGCCTCAAAACCCAAGAGTTGCCAGAATTTAGTCCCAGCACATTCTACTCCAGGAGGGAAGATAACCACCCCCAAAGCCCCGCCAAGACAGCCCTGCCTTTAAGTATGGGATGGGGCACCATCAGCCGCCTTGGGTTCCTTCTGGGTCCAGAAAGAGAATTTCGGGAGTCACTTCTACTACCTTCAGTTGGAGGGGAAGCAACAGGAGAACTGGGGGAGGAAAAAAAAGGATTCAGACCAACAACCAGCTTCATTCAAAGCCCTTGCACCTGAGGAACTCAAAGCGTTTAAAACACTTCAATTAATCCTTACTCGCTGAGATAAGTGTGACTTATTACATGGACTAGATAAATTGATGTAATGAGGCATGGAAAGGTTGAGTGATTAGCCCGAGTCTACAGTGTGAGCCTGGCACTCTGACTCCCATCCCAGTGCTTCAAATCAATAGGCATCACCCACTTCTTACCATGCCATTTATCACACATATTGAGTATGTCTCAAGCATGTCTGAAACCACCTTAAATGGCTTTTGAGAAATTTGGACTCATTCCAGGCTCAAAGATGTTTACTTTTATCCAAAACTACAAATTTAAGCTAGATCATTGGCCAACCCCAGGGACTGCTCCATTTGGATAGTGTCTGACCTGGCTTCTCAGCACTAAACATAATCAGAAACCCACAAATCAAGTGAGAAGCAAGTAAGCATTTCCTTTTACTGGTATAATAGAGCGCCTCAGACAAAGGCAGCCGCAATGCAATGCTAACTATGTAAGTGGATCCTTATAGGCAGCCACTTGCTTTGAATACTTATTTGCACCTGCCATGTACCAGTCACAATGCACAGGGCTTCTCTGCTTTGAGAGAGCACAATAAAAGGAGAGATAATGGAGTCTGGAAGCTAGGAAAGTTCAGAGGCCCCTCTGTCACACAGTGAAAAATCCCAAATAATGAGTCCAAAGAGTGTTGTGACACAATGGACATACTTTGGAAGCACCTGGCAGGTTCCTTTTGGTTCTTCTTCTTCTCTTCTGGGGATTGACAGCGGGTGGCTCTGTGCATCTGTGGCCACTGCAGCACGCTCCACAGCCCACTGAGCCTTCGCCAGCCTCTGGCTTTCCTTCAGCTCCATAATTGTCTTTTGCTGTTCCTGGAGTTTCTTCTTTTGCTTCTCAATCAGCTGTTGCTGGAAGACATGGCGGCTGTGGAAATGACCCATGCAAATGGGTGCTGCTTTCCGGCTGGTGGTTCTGAGCTTCTCGTTGCTGCCAGGCTGTCGGGAAGGCTCAACATCCTGCCCGTCACATGTGTCCGGAGGGCCATTCTGGAAGGGAACCTGCAAGGTGCTCTTTGTTGGTCTTCCTAGGTGGGGGCTAGGCATACAACCATTGCTCCCTGAGGGAGGCATGTCCCACAAAGAGGGTATAGCAGTTACCTGAAAGAAGGAAAATATTATAGCTCAGCTATTTCAAGGAGTGTGCTCATGAGATCCGATTTCATCTAGTCAGCATTGCTCAGCTCGATGGAACAACTGCCCTGCACCCTAGCCAGAGCTGCCCTGTTCTCCTGGCCTGGCTATCTCAGAGGCTACCAGCCTGAGCTCTGTGAGCCACTCTGAGAAGGGGCACTGCTGCTCACCATGAAAAGTGGGTAGGGGACGGCTGCAGCTGCACAAACCATTGACACGGGACAGGACATCTGTAATTGGAAAAATGTGCTCTTACAAACTCCTAATTTGGATAGTTCATTTGTGAATTAGGCAAGATTATTCCAGGTATATATTACAGGTGTGAATTGGCTGAATTTTGCAGAAACTTGAAAAATTTTTGGCAAAGGATGTATTCTTTCTCAAGAATGTTTGAAAACTAATGCAAATCAATAATAGCTCTTTATAAAACTCTTTAATACTAGTAGCTTTTTAATAATAGTTCTTTCAATGTCTCTCTTGCCACTGATAAATTAACCACAGGATATTTGTTTATTTCAGGATTAAGACCTGGATTAAAATTTAGTTTCTAGCTATTCCAAAACAATCTATTTGTGGGAAATACTGGCAAACCCAGGAACACTGGGGACCAGGATCTATATTACATAAGAACAATGTTACCTAATACTACTTTATATAGTATATGGCTTAATAATTTTCAAAGCTTTATCATTTAAACCTCATTTAACAGACTGAGGTATCATACTCAATTACAAGTTCTATACATAGGGGAAAGAAGCAGAATGTTTAATCAGAACAATTTATCCTGTCCAAAATAATGTCATAGTTAAAATGTCCCTTCTAGAATGGTTTGATTCCATGGTCTAAGGTCTGACCAGTTTTTGATTCTGTCATCTGCAGTGGTGTAAGGAGAAAAATGCTGTGAATTATCTCATAGCTTAGAAGACTTTAGCTCTAACAGGCCATATATATATAATTTTTTTTATTTATTTTTTTTAATCGGAGCCATCCTGCCACCTGTTTGCAGCTCAGTGGCAGCTCAGCTCGGGCCGGGAATTGAACTGGTGACCCTGTTGCTCAGAGCTCGCACTCTTGAGCAAGCTCTTAACCAACTGAGCCACTCAGCCGGCCCTGGGTGGATATTTTTTCATGATGCAGATGTGATCTACAGATTCAGCTGAAGTGAAAACCGTGATATATGCAAACTGTGACATGTTAAATACTTTAAAAAACAACCTTCTATTTCAGAAATGTCAGTGGACATTTATTCATGAGAACACCTGCTTAAGTAATTTAGCATCAAACAGGGTACATGCTGTAGGCCTTTTAAACTTTGTGGTAATGATACGTTATTAACCCAGCAATACTATAAAAGCCTTGAGTACAGCAACAAGATTTCTTTTGAACCATGGTAACTTTTTAAGGTGAAAATAAAGAGAATGAAAGAAAAGCTTACTGGTACAGATTGTACTTAATAGAACAGAACTGAACAGTCTGGCTTAATCAGAGAAAATCACCTATTATTAGCTAACTGATAATTCTGTAACTTTTCAAGGTCTAATATATGTGTTGTGGTACATGAGTTCCTATGATCTTATAATTAATGAGCATCTAACTAAAGATTTTATATTTTAATTTGTTCATGTTACACTCCAAACTCTGGAAAAGATTAGTTTATCCAGTAACCCAGTATAGCCCTTTATTTTCATTTGCTCTATTTTTTACAATATTGTCCTTTTTTGATAAATCCTTTTGTTCTTGATTTCAGAGACTTGGATACTCTTTTTCTTGAGTCTAAAATGTGTGTGTGTGTGTGTGTGTGTGTGTGTGTGTGTCTGTGTGTGTGTATTTTTAGTAATTTTTCTGTTTTACTCAGATTAAAAAAAAATACATTCTGATAACTTTTTTTTTTTTTTAATTTAAAGGCAACAACAGTAGAACTTTGTAGGATAAAATGTCCACACAGCTATTTCCTAAGATATTCGGAAGACTCTGCTGGGTCTCAATGGAAACAAAATTATCTGACTGACATCAAGGTAGATGAATTGCCTAGGGGGAAGGACCAAAATGTTACCTAAGTTCCAGTAAGCATCCTCATGACGCCCCTCTGCTGAGAGACTAAGCTTCAATGAAAACCAGCCTACCTTCTATCAGTGATCAGGGTAGAAAGCAAGGCTGGGGACCATGTAGTGACCAATTTAATGTCACACGTCTGAGTTAAGTACTTAACAGCATTATGTGGAGGGATGGGAGGGTAAGGGGTGGCTGTGAGGGGTAGAGGACCTTCTCTGAAAGGCTTTTCAAACATGACAGGTGCCATTATGAAAGAAAAAACTAATAGGATTGACTTTATAAGAACTTAACTGTGTATAGTGCCAAACACCATCAATAAACCAAAAAGACAAATGAAAAAATAAATTGCAAAATATATAATAATAAAAGCATCAATAGTAATAAAAATATAAAGAGAAAAGGATAAATAAAAATATAAATAAGAAAAGGATATATAATCAAGTGGAAATATGGACAAAAGGCATGAAGGGACAAGTCAGTATATATCTTTCTACATCTATTTTCATATACTACATATATATGTAAATGGTCAATATAAAAAATGTTTAACCTCACTAGTAATAAAAAAATGGAAATGCTGGAGCAATAATAAGATGAAAATATTTTGCCTGTCAACTTGGCAAAAATGAAAAATATGTTATTAGGCAGGAAAACAGGCATTTCGTTGGTACAACCTTTCTGGAAGGGCAATTTGGTAATATTCTTTCAAATGTGCATCCTATTTTTAGGTATTTATCCAAAGTACAGCACTATGGGTGTGTACAAAGATTTAGCTACAAGGATGTTCACTGAAGCTTGGTTTGTAATAGTGGCAAACTGAAAACAAATATCCAGCAATAGGGGAGATAAACAGATTCTAGCTTGTAGTTCATGACAGAAGATCACGCACCCATTACAATATGATGGCACAAAATGCTAGACCTTAACCCAGGGGTGTTCATCAGGTTCCTCTGTGGACCTTTAAAAAAATACAGGTGCCCCACTCCAAGGAATTCTGATTTAGTGATGTGACTTTGCAGTAGGTTCTCAGTTGAGAACTACCGTTGCAGAAATAGTTTTACTGACGTAAAGAATTCTCACATAGTATTAGGAAAATACAAAATAAATTTTTAAGAAAAACAGAACAATTCCATTATTACTAAGAAGAAAAAAATACATGAACTTCCTTTTGCTATATTATGGCAGACTAATGTCCTCAATGATTTGACTGATGAAAATTTTAAAGCTAAATATTAAAGAGAAAAAAAATGGACATATGCCTGAATAAAGAAAAGTCTAGATGGCAATACTTCAACATGTTATCAGTGGTTATCTCC